AGACTTCTGAGGGGAGAGACCACATCAGCTCTTCCATCTCTAGCACTATACTAAATGCCAGCAAGACATCAAAAGCAGAGATGAAATGGCAATTCCAAAGAAGTCCTGATGAGGCATTAAATGTTTCTGAAAATAGATGAGATATGGAATACTTACTACTTATATTATCTTGAGTAGGTTAATCTCACTATCTTACATGCTATGAAATAGGATTAATTGCATTTATATCATTGTTGAAGATTTCAGTAAAAGAACCTAAATAAATAAATAAATAAATAAATAAATAAATAAATAAATGAATGAATGAATAAATAAAATCAGTAGGTGCTTATGTAGCGTTAAATGAGGAAAGTCAATAAAAATGTGCTATAAGTGGTTCTCCAGCACTATCTTTTCAATTTATTCAGTGGGAATATATTTTCCCTCATTGGAACATACATTTGAGTTTAGAATGAATATTGATTGGAAATAGAAGTCGGTTAAAATCAACCTTCTTGCAAGATCTTGTTTCATATACCAAGAGATACTAACGAGAATGGCTTTAGAAAGGCTAATATAACATTGTTTCTTGAGGTTTCAGTATTATACTCAAGTCCTCTTCAGTTCTTCCATTAATTTAGAACTGTCTGCGTTTTCCTCTGAGACAGTAGCGCAATAATATAGCATTATATAAAGGCAGAACTAACAAAGAATATTGTGATTTTTAGATTTATAGGTTGCCTATATATTACACAATAATTTTCTTAAAAATAGTCATGAGTTCTACAGTTGCACAAGATAAATGTCTTGGTAAGTTTCCAATATTTGGCAATGTGTATTTTGAGATTATAAATTTCTAGTTAATGCTTACTCGCAGTTTAGTGATAAGTGTGGTGTCAGGGGTCTCTTAAATGCAACCAACCTGAAAATATAGTTTTAATAAAATTCTGAATAAGCTTGTGGCTACATCATTCTATCTTTACATTTTTTCTTACCTTTGGCTCTTTTAATTTTTCATTAGTTCTTGTACTGTAAGATACGTAGGAAAGGATTTGGAATTCAAATAGTAACATTTAACTTCCTGGAGAGCTAAAAACAATGTTCAGAGGTCAAGATGAAGAGAAATAAGTAAACAACACAAAATAATTATTAAACCTGTTACACAACTAGAACATGGAGTGGGCTTGGTCAATTAATGCCTTTTGCCTGGAACTGTCAGTTAATACCCTACGTACAAGGGGAATGATCAGAGTCCTCCATTCTCATTATCGAAAAATCTCCAATTTAAAAAAAATCTTCCAGTGAGAAGTAATATGAATTAAAGCAGCAGAAAAATCATGAGTCCTCACTCTGCTATGAATATGCCGTCTCACAATGCTAAGCACTTCTTGCTGCAGTTCTCTATATTTAAAATAGATATATAAATATATAACTCACAGTAATGGAATGGGAAGTGCATGTTAGCTGAGTAGCCACTAGATATGTTAACAAATGTACTCTTAAATTCTACTTGGGCATAAAAGATTTGTTCCTCTTCTCTCTCTCCGATGACTTTTTAAACTGCCGATGCAAAGAACTTATCCTAAATGTTGCTCAAATTCAGAACTTTGCTAGCTGTATGACTGAAGCTTTAAATCAAATTTTTGACTCATAATTTAATTGTTGCTCAAAGTTATTTGTAACAATGGGTGACTCACTAAGATTATTGATGGTATTATTTTGTAGGATGGAAAACACCAGGCTATATTTCTTTAGGGATCTAGGAAAAAGTCTAGACCATATCTTTAATAAAAATCTCTCATATGCATGTAAAATAGTGATAAATTAGCTACAAGTAGAAATGAAACCGTCATAATAATTTGTAAAGTTGAAGGAATTACTTAGAAGAGAAGAAAGAGAATATGGCCTTGGCAATTCTGAACTTGAAGGCTCTTATTATGAATTTGTACTTATTCTGGACAAAGGGATTAACACATGCTGCAAATATGCTGGCTTATCTCAGAGGGCACTAGCGAGGAATAACTTGCTAAGAATAATCAGGAATGCAAAGCACTTAGCAAATCTGAAGAGTGCCATAAATTCTTATAAAAACAACGATGCTTGGGATGAGATTGCAATTTGTTATTCTGATTACTAATAGTATTAACTCTAGAAAAGTTGGTGCATTTTTCAATTAAATGACAATTATTTACAGTCAGATGGTAAAAAGTGCACTTACTTGAATGAGGTACTTTAAAGGATTCATGAACTCTTAATCATTAACCTATAGACAATATGTTTATTTAACCATGATTTTATATTTGGGTTATCATATGGTAATAACCAATGAAGTAACACCTCCCCCACACACATAAATTTATTCTATTCATAGATGGACAAATGGTATCTGATGAGATACTGGCAATTAGAATAGGATGATTAAGGACATTGGGGATACTCCAAGAGTTTAATATTCATTTGATCATAATGTAGAGGGCTGCTGTTTATTTTTCAGCTCAAGTTCAGGATACAGGAAAATTCTATTTTCATTCTTTTAGAATATGAAATTGCTTTGGAGTGCATTAGAAATCCTAAGTAAATGAAATGGAAATGCCCTAGAACCCCAGCTGTTAGGTTTGTGAATTCCGTATTGTAAATTATAAAGGAAGGATAAGATTTTGACCATTAGGATACTTATACACATAGATGGAGAATTTCTATAAGATAGATATTGCCTCTGGGAAACTCTGCATTTTCTTTCACTTTCAAAGGACAGGCAGTTTTCTAAATTTTCCATAGAAACCATGGACAGAAACCCACATGAAATTGTTGTAGGCAAAATGTTCATTGAGAAAAAAAACACATTTGTTACCAAGTGATAGTGGCGACTGCTCAAGATTGGGGAGTGAAGTGCCAAGATCATAAGTGACTGTGACCTGATGTGAGAGTGAACATACACATCAACCACAACACACAACAGGAAAATGTTTCTGTCTTATATGACAAAAAAATAAAAAAATAAGAAATAAAAAAGCAAAGCCTAGTGATTAAACACAAAGATTCTAGACATCTAAATCAAATACCATCCTGTCCCTTACCAACTGTGAAAGTCATTTAACCATTCTCTGCCTTAGTTTTTTTAAATGTAAAATATGAATAATAATAGTATCTACTTCAAAGATGGTTTGTAAGAACAAAACAATTCAATACATGCTCATATAACGTGACTAAAAATTCTGAGCTACTGCCTCACTTTGATGACAGCTCCATTTGAATATTGCTCCACTGAAGTTGCTAATATCTTTACAGGGTAAGATCATAGAACCTGAGTCTGCTTTTTCGTTTGATTTTCTTTTAAGTTAACATACTTGAGTTGTTAAAGGGTGTTATATTAGACAATAATAAAATATAAAATTTAGTCCAAAGTTGCCACTAGCCATACATATCCCTTGTAAAAATCGATATTCTCATTTATAAGATAAGGGGATTTAAATCCCATGTTTGAAGAGAGAAGTATAGCACAGTTTTGCCAATGAAACTTTTAAAATACAAATGCTGAAACCTCATCTCTGCAACTGAGCCATGAGTAAGAACTAGGCACGTGTGTATGTTGAGACTCTTCATTGGTTAGCTGGATTTTCATTACAAACCATTGTTAGAGTCGTAAGATTGATATTATCTGTATGATTTTATGACTCTAATATTTTAAATTTAAACACCATCTAAATCATATTTAAAGTAGTCATGATACTCCATCTAATCAATTTTTTAAAAAGTCAAGACAAAATAATGTTGATTTTTTTTCTCTGAATTAGGTCCTTTTATGGAGTAAAGTGACCTAAATGGAATAGAGGAACAGTGAACAACAAGATAATTCTAACTCACTGGCAGTTTCACTGTTGGCTAGATCTGTCACTGCAAAGATACCTGGCCATACTTGCTAGATGCACTAGCCACTTTTAATTACTTTCTACCAACCTCAGCCAAATGGTTTAGAATAGTTGACCTTCAGGTGGTCAACTATTGAATTCAAATTCAAATTTGAATTCAGACTATTGACTGAGAAAAATAAGGGAACATATGTGAAATAACACCCCAAGCCATGTCCCTGATGTTGGTCGATGATGTTGTCATTATGAGCCAAAAACAAAACATGATCAGCCTGATGTAGAATATATGTCTTTCCTGTTATAGAAATTACATGCCCAGCTGGATGAGCATAATGAACACATTGCATTTTCTCTCAGTGAAAGTCAATGAACAATGAAGATCTTTTTCCAACAACTTACTTTGATTTCTTCATGTACAGCCAGTAGACGACGCCAGCAACAAGGGCAGCGAGGAGGAGGCCAACGACGATTCCCACAATTAGCTTTGCTTGATCATTCACCTTTTCTCTGTTTTCATCTACAACAAAGAAGAAAAGCCCATGCAATTACAGGCAATGCCAATGATTTTTGAAAATAAATCAATCTAGTTATTATTTCTTATTAAAAATGATTAAGGCTCACTACTATTAGTAACATGCAAATTTGTGAATTTAAAGGATAAAATTTTAGCGTTCTTACTGTCTTGTCTCATTTACTATTTTAATTCAAGTCAAAATTGTGGAGACTCAGAAAATTACTTAAACAATGACACTTCATAAATCTTGAGCTAATAGTCAAGGAAGAAGAGTCGGCGGCAATAGTACCTACCACTTATCTCGTCTGCCTCATCGTGTTCTGGAATACTTACTGAAATGAAAAATGTTAATATGAAATTAAAAACAAAATCTGTTTATAAATGAAAGTCACCTTTACCATTATAGTATGATGTAATAATACTAAAAGATAAAATATCTATTCTATAGCTAAGGGTAGAAAAAATTTACATTTACCAGAGCATGAACTTTCCTACAAAGAAATTAATCTTATTTTTAAGGAAAGGAGAGTAGTTAAAACTGCAAAGGTATTAATTTACCACAGAAAATTTTACAACTGACAAGCTATAGTATTAACCTGAAATCCATAGTAATTTCCCCACTACCACCTTATAATAGGAATTTTTTTAAGGGAAACAACTTGCCACAGATGAAATCTATGATGCAGTGTTTCTCAACATATTTCAATTTTTCCTGCCTCAATAGACAAGAATTAATTTTCCTCTTCAGTGTCAAGGACCTACTACTAGAGATCTTCTCAAAATGGTAGAGGTGGAGGTTAAAATTGGGGATGTCTCTGAGGTTAAAAGGCAACATATGCGATGTTTGCAAAAGCCCTCCAAAATGCCATGCTCCTAGCTTATTTTAAGAACCTCAGCTGTTGTGGATTACCTTCTAATATTAAACTATATAAATATTCTTCTATGTACATGGATCTGAATTAAAAGTTTGGTGGTGTTTGTTAAAGTGCAGGTTCCCAAACTCTTCCTCGTACATACTAAATTGGAATCTCAGGAGGTGCTCACTGAATTGAAAAATGACTGTATTAAATGTTGATCAAGCCATTAGAAGATCTAGGAAACCACTATTCAATAGGTTAGAATAAAAAGAGAAACTCGTGTTCAGGAAAAAGGATAAGTTCTCTTTCTAGGTAGGATAAATCAATACTCACTGAATTAAATTCTAAGAAGTCAATGCTCCTATTTTAAAGTTAAATTTCTTTGGCTCTTTTCTTGTCAGTTCAGTAGGCTTTATATTCCAGTCATAATCTGTTAAGAACTGTTATCTTTAGACAATTATTTTCTCCTACTTCCAGCTAATTCCTATCTAGTATATTCCTTTTCTGCTAAGGTCACATGCAGGATTCCAATTGACTGAAGAATAAAAGTGTGGAGGGTCAGTTAAGCCTCCTGTGCCAGAGCCGAGCCTCATTCTAGGCCACTCCTGATTGAGGGTGACACAGTAATAGAAACAATGACGTAATTGAAGATGATGGATAATTTCAAATAAATGACAACTGTTCTCAGAAGAAGCTATTTTCGGTATGTATGTATTAACCTGATTTCAGCAGTGACAGATATTTTTCCACTTTTTCTGAGATAATCTCATCTATCTAATTTTTAGCTATGATTCAAAGATGATATTCAAAAGCATGAATTTTTTACACTAGATTTCATGAATTCTAATATCAGATAGTTTTACTACCAATTTGCTTTGACTTTAAACATGTGACATTCCTGTACAAAATAAAGGTAGGATAAATACCACATAGAATTGAAATGCAAAATAATAGGTTAAAGGGAATTAAAAATTTACCAAAATTAAAACTGATATAGAAATGTTTTAAGATAATCTTTGAATTATCTATACTCTGAACACAAAAAATTGATTAACTAATAGCAACTCAGTTCATATCCTCTGCTGCTCTTGGTAAATTTTCCTGTATAAGATAAGGTCTCTGACCCATGAGACATGAAATGATTTAGCTGTCAAATCAAAGATTGCACAAGAATGGACACCAGGAAAAAAAAAAAAAAGAACCTTATGATGATGATACTAAATGCAAAATAAATAAATAAAACTTACCATAATGCAGTATAGGAAGATGGAATTGAAGATTTAAAACTAATGAAGAATAACTTCAAATTTTCTTACTTTTTTAATGCCAGAAATGAAATACTCACTAGCAGAGACATTCAAGGAGTTTACTGTTCTCTCCAGCTGGTTTTCTGCTGTGCAAGTTAATGTAACATTCTCTTCAGGGGAAATGATAATTTTACTATAATACCTGCCATTGATATAAGGAGATTCCTCTGTCTGGAAAAAGAATAAAGAATACAGATTTAGAAAAGGAAATA